AGCTATTTTTTTGCCCGAAAGAACATAACTCAAAGTACTACAGGAGTCTAAGCTTACAAGAATTTATTGAGTTTTATTTTCTCATCGCACCAACCAACAACATCTCAACGTCTAATAGACAACTCAATGTTGTGGCTGATGCGATACGAAAAATAGATACTCAAAAAATAAAAGACAACACATCACACACATGTTGGGATGTGAAGCCCAGGATTCAATGAAAATTCGCAAGAGGTTTTAGATTAGTCGATTTTAATTTTATTAACATTCTTTGATTAGATTCTTTTAAAACATAATAAATCTAATCTAGCAACTTACAGTTTTCGCGAGCCGATTCGTTTCTATCTTCGGCGCACGAACGAGGATCCACACCAAGCCTTGTCCAGAAATTCCCAGCCATCTTCCTTCACCGATATCTCCGTGATGGTTGATCTTATTAAGAAACCCTTCGGATGAATCATAGTTCTATGGGTTAGAAAGCTACTTTATAAATTTCAAGCCAATCGGACAAATGGTTGATGTATGGTGAATTTCTTCGCATGACTGCTCAGAAATTTCAGGAATAATAGTTTGCTCTAAAAACGGAATAATAGTTTGCTCTAAAAACCTATAATCTTCTATTGTATATCCCGGATTAATAATTCTTCTACAAGGGTGGACTTGTACTTGAAGAAATCTATAATCGAGAAATTAGAGAGAAAAGAAGAAGAGAAAAAATATTTCTCTCCAACGTGAAATAGGCGTGTGGAATTAATTCCCTCTCATCAACCCAATCTCTATTATATATAGCACAAGGAATTAGAGTCACGCATAGAGAGGATTACATGGAAACAAATGTCACTCCTTCTATAACTCTATATAGTCGAAAATTGCAATCCAATGGGTACTTAATTTTCGGCAATATTAATTCCAATATATAATATTGGTTGAACTTTTATTTCTCGATTAATTAGAAAATCCATTGGGCTACAATAGGGACTAAAGGAGAAAATATAAATCGGGCAACTAATAATTTATTAAATCCAAACTCTTAAAATAATTCATTTAATTAATCATTAAATAATTATTTATTTTCCACTACCAAATAATTATTGAACTCCCGTTTATATTCTCAAATATTACATTCGAGCTCCGGTCGATCATTACTTAGATTCTCCCCACATTAAGATATCTTATAACCACCAAATAATTTATTCACTGCTAAATAAATTAAATGGTTTCTTTTCATGAGTCTTACCCGCTTAACTTATTTGAGTATGCCGGATACGAAATCCACCTGACTAGATCTTGGCATAAACAAATATTATAAGCTACTCAAGGGTTATTATCAATCTCATATTTCAGAGATGTGGATTCCTTTCGATAATTAATTTCCACCTATTAATTCTTAATGTCTCTACCCAACGCACCGGGGGCCATTTGACTCAATATAGGAATCTCTCCCATTGTGACATCAAAGTAGAGATCATCAATTAAATGTGTATGTTAATTATCTAGGGATTAAGAGTGTAAGTAATATACTGTCAACTAGAAATAATACAGTTTCATTTATGAACAGTGATGAAACAATTATTTCACTTTGTCCGGTTCAACACATGCCGGGTGTGCTAGCACAATAAGTCAAAACAATAACTACAAAAGTTATTCTCTGTTTACTGTGATCAAGACCAATCACTTAAATATTGTGCTACAGTCTTTTACCAATGGTTAGTCCATTTCCATCTAGATTGTGAACGTTTATCTTTATATTCTAAACGAACTTTCAAAATTATCTTTCTGTGCGCCGTAGCACACCATCTCGAATACTATTAGAATATTAGACTTATTCTTTTAATTAATTGACAAACAATCGATTAAATGCATTAAATACCCTTGTGCAGATTCTCATAAAATGATAATATACAATTCTATTAATTCAATAAAAAAATTATGTAGCTAAAAGCGAGACTTTCAGTCTACTATCCTAACAACACAAGCATCTCCAAGGACAATGATCAGGGCCGGTCCCAGGATCTCGGAGGCCCAAGGGTGGGAAACGAAAACGAGGCTCTCTTAATTACCAACTTTATTTTGACTCATTAACTCATTCCTCAATCACAATTCTACAACTTCATCTTCAACAAATTTTTGCAAGATAATTTATTTAAATCTAAGAGCTCCGTTTGTGATTTTTTTATAATATCACAACTCAAACTTATCTATTGTTCACTATGTCGATAGATACTCAACCAATGAAATTTCAAAATATACAGTATAATATAAAAGATCCGAATTATTAAAACCAAAATATGAACACAAATAACAAAAAAAAAGTATAAGATTAAAAATGAAAGAATCAAGATAATGACAGATAAACCTAATTAATTCTTAACTTGTCATTCAATTCAACAAAGAAGATAAGAAAAAAGGAGGAATTAAAAAATAAGATTAGTAAGAAAAAAAGAGGGAAATTGAAAAAAAAATAAAAAAAAAGGAAAAAAAAAACAAAAATGGAAATTAAAGAATAAAATTTAAAAAAAAAAGAGGGAAATTAAAAATAAAATTAAAATAAGAAAAGAAAATATACAAAACAAAGAGAGAGGGGGAATGGCAAACAAAAAAGGTAAATTAAATAATAAAATTTAAAAAAAAAAGGAGGGAAATTGAAAATAAAATTAAAAAAAGAAAAAAATAAACAAAACAAAGAGAGAGAGAGGGAATGGCAAACAAAAAAGGGAAATTAAAGAATAAATCTTACATATAAAATAAAGAAACGCTGGGCAACCCCAACAACCCTAATGATATTTCTATAAATATTTTTAATATTTTTTCTCTACTAATTTCTAACTATAGTTTTTAACAATTATCAAAATTGAAACTAAACCATGAAGAATCCTACCCTAATGGTTTAATCTTAATCTATATATTTGGATTATAAATCTCAATATGTAAAATTTAAAAAAATTAATGTTATATAAAATATGAATAATACATTATTAAATTTTACCATGTTAGTGTACTATATTTTCTTATTTTGGAAAAATGCTATTTTTTTTTAAAAAAAATGGAAATTAAAAATGAAATTAAAAAAAGAAAAAAAATAAACAAAAAACAAAGAGAGAGAGAGAGAGAGAGAATGGCAGCTTTCATACGATCAGTCAAGGAATCGATTACACGACATACTAAATCCTATTAATACCACTTAGCCAACTATGTTAAAGACAATTCTTGTAAAAATTTTGTAGCTCAATGGTTATATAAAAATTAAAAAAATTGGAGGTCCTAAAAGTTTTCAATTTTTCGGAGGTCCAAGGCGACGGCCTTGCTCGCTTTGGGCTTGGGCCGGCCCTAACAATGATTCTAAAGAAATCTCAACCATCCATTCCGATGAACATACATCTAACAAAATAATCCAGTGTAATAAGAAAAATGTGGCTGTAGAGAATCAATGCAAACCAAATAAAGAAGAACTAAAGAAAAAATATGTCTTTCTAAAAAGAAGATAGACGATCCAGCAGTCATAATAAGTATTCTTGATGAGAAAGAGCCTCCTAAAAATGATAATGATGAAACACTTCCAATATGAAAGATGAAGAAAAAAGCTCAAGAGTAAAGAGTGCACACTATTAACAATAAAAAATTAATTTGATTTATTACTTAAATACATAAACAAATTCATACTAATTTTTTATGGTTTTGTTCGTTTTACATTTTTGAGGACATTGTTTTGTACCTATTTGTTAGTATGCCCACTATTTGAAATTGTTATTATCAAAACTTAAGAGTAATACTTCCTTTTTTAGTGGTTATCCTTTTCTTTTTTCTTTAAACTTATCTTGTTTTTAATATTTTCTTATAATTTCAACTATCTCACAATTTTCCTTGAACATTATAGATTATTTCCAATCTTAATTTCTCATTTTTCTGTACGTTGATTATTGTTGCCATCGTTGTCGTTGATTATTGCTGCCATTGTTGTCGTTGTTTCGTTGACTTTGTCATAATTACCTCTATTTTGTTTTGAATTTTGTTTTGAATTTTGTTTTGTTGACTTTGTCATAATTACCTCTATTTTGTTTTGAATTCCAATCGTCATTGATCATTATATATATACATTATTTGGTCTTAAAAATAATAGAAATCATTGAATTTCTTAGTGTAAATAATTTATTATTATATTCAACACTATTGTAAATCGACCTATTCGTGTTGCTCTTTGGTTTGGTAACTTCAGAAACAAAGTATAATAATAATAACAAATATACAAACATAGAAAGAGATTACAAATGAACAAAATCCATGGGGAGATAATTGTGGATGTCATCGGGGGAGGGATAAAACTCATTTATATAGAATTAAAACCATTGTAAGTTACAAGAATTTACAAAGTTCTTACACTAGAAAGTACATTGAATATGGGGATAATGGTATTATGGAAAGTTGTGAATCTCTTAGGGTTTGTTCGGTCACCGCTATAAGGTTCTGCTGACTAAATAGTAGGGGTTAATAACATGTCCGGTTGGCAAGATTCACACTTTTTCAAATCTGCTACTAAAATCGAAGTCCGCTATTAAATGCTACTATTTCATTAAATTAAGTGGTGGCGATGACAATAGTGAATCGTATAATTACTTAAAAAATAAATATTTGCAACATTAAATTTTATTTCTTTCAAAAAACAGAACATGGTTTTCATCTTATTTTGCAACTGTGATTTTTATCTTATTTTGTGATTTTTATCTTATTTTGTTATTCCTGAATCTTAGTGAGGCTGATAATATAGCCCAATTGAGCCAATTCAAGATCGACGCACCCGACCTGATTGCCAGCCCAATTGGTGAGGTTACAAAGCTCCAAATTTTACTATTGACCACCCCAAATTTAATTGATTCACATTTGATGTAGAGAAACTTGTACAAGAAATACACATCCACAAGCTAATGAGACCACTCCACCTAATATTCTTTAAGAAGGAATTTTTGTAATATAAGACACGGTGGGCATTAGTACAGCACCTCATTCAATCCAAACCACACATTCATTCATCCCCACACTTAAATTGAAGAAAAAAAACTAAAAAGGAAATTTTGCTCTCTTCTCAATAACTGCTTCATAGTTCGTGACAAGTCAAATAAACAACACAAAAACAAAACCAAAAAAACATCGAAAGTACATTTGAATTCTGTTAAGAAATTGTTGGTCGGGATCGGAATACCGCATTAATTCGTTCGATGGGTACCGTCATCGACTCCCATTTCTTGGCCCTCACTGCCATTGTCACTGTACGTTTTGTTTCTTTAATCCCACCACACACTGCACACACTGCCGCACACACAAAAACACACTCCTTTCGTCTCATCTATGTATATATTTATGTGCGCCTGTGGTGTTTGTGAAAATGCTTAAAGATGGTTGCTTTTGTTGTTTTTGTTTTTTTTGCAGGTGGGTTATCAATTGCTCTTCTTTATAATCACAGCGCTTCTTAAGTTCGACAAAGTCACAGACTTTGCAGGTTTATTTTGTATCTATTTTTTCCCCTTCATTTCTACCCATTATGTTTATATTTGTAATGATTCAATCTAGTGGCGTAGCCAGCATAGAGCCAAGGGGGCCATGGCCCCCCGACAATTTTTAAATCCCTACTATTTTATATAAAAATATTAAAACAAATCGTGTATGATAACATTAATGCCCCCCTTCAGATTTTTTTTAATGAATTCGGCCCCTTCGAAGTTAAAATCCTGGCTCCGTTAGTGATTGAATCATAATTCAATTGATTGGAAAAGTTGCTGCTACTATAGTAAGGTCTGAGTTTAAGAAGAATTGAAGGGATAACTCTGTTTTAATTGCCTTAAAATTTGTGAAATGAACGTGAGTGTACTTTTAGGCCTTTTGTAATTAGTGAAATCACGAGAACTACGTTTAGAAGTTTGTATCCGAGGAGTTGCAACGTTGTTGTGTACGAGTTTGTTATGATGTCGAACGAAAATGAATGATAATGACAATTTTGTTTTAAGATGACCTATTGTAATACTGTTTAATATCATTGTTTGGTGATTTTTTTGATTTTTTTTTTCTTTTCGTAATTATGTCTTCTACTTGCCTTGTAGGTAGCACCAATTTTATTATACTTGCTGTGTTGACCTTGGTTGTGAAAGGATCATGGCACTTTCGGCAGGTGATTTCTTCTATTTAACTTCTCATTCGGACGACTTCTTCATCTCGACTTTTTTTCTTCGTTATTGCTACTCATAAATAAGTCTTATCCGTGTGTTTCTTTATTATCACAAAATTTCTTGATACTTAATTTAACTATGTTTGAGTAACTTGGAAGAAGCAACTAGAAAACAAAATTTGTGGTAATTAAGAAAAATAAGAACATGCAAAATGATTTTATATTGAGAATGGATACGAAGATGTAAGACGTTGATATTAGATACTGCATCTAAATTAGGACAAGTAATCAAGTAAAAAATTTAATAACGAAAAAATGTGTGTAAGTAACATATGTTATGTAGCGTAGTGTTTGTTTCCACCTTTGTTTCGAATTTTGATTTTGTAGTGTTAATTTTCAGGTGGTTTTGTCCATGCTTGTAGTCGTCTGGGGCCTTCGTCTGGGACTGTTTCTATTAATGAGGTATATATATCTCAAACTGAAAAATGTCCGTCTTTCATTCGAGGATCTTTTGTTGCCTCTGAGGCTATATGAATAATCGATACACTGGAAATTCAATGAGAACTCGAAATATCGAAAACTACAATCGAAGTAGTACTAAGGATAAAGTGTTGTTTTGATTTTGACCAGGATACTGCGATGGGGGGAGGACCGACGCTTCGACGAAATGCGCGATAATTTGGCAAAATTAGCCGTCTTTTGGATTTTTCAGGTTCTTCAGAATTTTCTTTTTCACCTTCTGAAATTATGATTGCTATTTGGAGCTTTGCCTACGAGTATGTCTATTTAATATATAAATATAAATAAATGCAGGCTGTGTGGGTATGGACTGTGAGTTTACCTCTGACAGTTGTTAATGCAAGTTCTCGAAATCCTTCCATTGAGGCTGCAGATATTATCGGGTGGATTATGTGGGCTATAGGCCTTTTTGTCGAAGCAACTTCGGACCAGCAAAAATTAATATTTAAAAATGCTCCGGAAAATCGGGGGAAATGGTGCGATGTTGGACTTTGGAAATACTCCCGCCACCCCAACTATTTTGGCGAGGTGAATTTTTTTTTTCTTTTCTTTTTTCTGCTCGAAATAAAGATATATATATATATATATATATATCATTTTGAAGTCTTTATTCCTTGGACTAATGTTCAAAATAAATAGTTCATATTAACTTAATCGGTTAAACTAAATTGTTTCCTCCTATGGCATGCTCGTAAGTGTATTTGAATAGGATGTAAATGAGTCGAGAAGGCTCGACTTTCAGCCTATTTTTTGTTTTTCTTAAGTCGGCTAGCTGGCTCATGAAATTTTCATTTTGTATTTATATATTTATTATATTAGAAAAAAATTAACTGGAGTGGCTTGTGAGTTTTTTATTATTTATTTTTATATTTCTGACATATATTTTATGTTAAAAAAAAACACATTTTGAGTCTAATGGCTCGAACTCGTTACACCCATAGTTTGAATAAGGAGCATGTGATTATTTCAGATGATAGAATTTGAATCTAGGAAGCGTTGAGTAGGTTCGTTTTTAGGTTGTTCTTCTAACTGTTTAATATCATTTAGAATTTTTGAAGTTGTAAATTGCATTTAAATACGGCAATTTTCTTCCCTAACGTACGCTTTACGTATTTAATGCTCAGATATTTCTGTGGTGGGGAATTTTTGTGGCTGCAACTCCTGTACTAAAAAATGCCGAATGGCTTGTCATCTTAGGGCCGATATTTCTTACATTATTGCTTCTTTTCATCAGCGGTCTACCGCTTCTCGAGGTTTGCATGATTTTAATTTTTTTTTTTGGTTTTATTCAAATTGTTACTAGTAATTTGAATATGCACTTATTCTGAAAAACAAATCTTATATATACAGGAATCAGCGGACAAAAAGTACGGGAATGTTTCTACATACATGCACTATAAAAGAACGACGAGGTTTGTTTCAGATTCTGTGTCTATTATCTATATCAATGTTTTGAAGGGAAAACAAAAGGTTTAATTCATTTATTTTATTTTATTTTATTTTTTCTGTTATCAGTCCTCTCATCTTGCTCCCCCCGGCACTGTACGGGAAATTGCCGGCATGGTTTAAAACTGCTTTTCTATTTGAGTTTCCTCTCTACAGTCGCAGTCTTCCCCTCGAAAACTGGTAACGAAAATTCAAATTGTTTTTTTCTGTCGTACCTCGAAGTTGCTAAAGAATTCATGTAATTATTTTAAGTAAAGGTTTTACTGAAAGTTCATTTGATTCCATTTCAAAGAATTAACACTGGATTGTTGTAAAGCATAAATGAAAACATTTGACTTCGACATCTCCACGTATGGCATAAGAGACACATCTTATGATCATCTTGTTTCCAAATGTGGAGCTCGAATGAGTTAAAACAGGTAAAAAGTGGAGAATATTCTATAATCTAAAAGATTCCACTAAATTTGACACCGCAAGAGTGGTTGTAATCACCCTTTCGTAATTTAACCTTACCTCAGGGGGTGGGTGTAATTTTCCCCGTATTAGTTTTTAGAAGTGAGAAGAAATTATGTAATTTACTTAAATCATTGTAGGAACTAATTAGCAAGGCTATTTTATGTTTTCTCTGTGCAAGGAATAGAAATAGCCAGCAAAGGAGCAATGCCGGGAAGATTAGTTAAGTGATTTTAACGATCCATCTGCAAACTGCTGCTCTTCGACCCGAAAGCTGGCAATTTCTGCCCCATTTCGTGTTTCTACGGTTTTATAGGATTTCTTTTATCTTTGACTCTGTGTATTGTTCTTCTGCCCTAGTTTTATCACCATTTCACGTATATCATTAAAAAAAATATTGGAAATTCATTTGTGCGTGCTTAGTATACGAAACCCAATCTTTTGTTTCTTCCGTTTTCATTTTGATGGGGACCAAAAAAAAATATTATTGGGCAGTAAGCGTGAAATTCAAAGGGTGTTCGAGACCCTCCATAGAGTCATTACATGGAATCCGAGAAACAGCGTGGGCATACATGTTGCCCGGATACGTTAACTTATTTTTAAAAAATCAATGCTGAAAATTCTTGAGCAATCGGAGCTGAGGGGAAACATATTACTTTTTTTTTTTTAATTGTTTTTAATTTTATTTTAATTTCCTTTTTTTTTTAATTGTTTTTAATTTTAGACTTCTGATAGTTAATCATTTGTCGAGATGCTGCATGAAACAATACACAGAGATAGCTATGATTGTCTGAGCTCAAAGCCCATCGGAACTCACTTCGTGTTTCTACCACCACGAACGTGGCGATCCCCGAGACTACAGAGTTGATGATGTTAGGGTCATCATATTGGGCCGCATGACGAGGATGTGTATGAGGATTGAAATCACGTATGCTCATGTGCCAGTAGTGTTGTCAACGTTGTTCATCATGAATGAGGGTGATGCAGAGTGTGTATTTTCACGCGTTTGAGAAGACGGTGAAGTTTACAACTTTGATGAAGGGTATTTTAGGCAAAACTTACTTTGTCTAAAATCCATAGGAGATCTGAATGAGTTTTTTTTTTTTTTTTTTTTTTTTGGTATCACATGGACCTTTTTAGAATTGCAATTTACTTTCTTCAAAAAAAAAAAAACATTGTTTACTGTGTATATTTGGAAAGAAGTGGTAAATTTTAGAATAGCTATTGGAGTTGCTCTAACCCGATTAGAATTTAGAGGATAATGTTCTGTTTATCCTCTTTGACAAACATATTAGAAATTAGACCATCGTCCACTGCTTCGTATCACCATTAATGAACTCACAAACTCTCATGTAGATTGGAATAATATCCCGCGGAGTTTTGGCATAAAAGTAGTCCCGTTGTATAGTCATTCATCTTTCCAAACTAATATAGATTCACCATTACCCACTCGCCAACGAATTCTTGTCTCCACTAAGTTGTTAGCTCCGAAAATATTACGCCATGTGAATGAAGGGTTTGACCCCAAAGTAGCTCCCAAAAAATCAGAATATGGAAAGTAGCGTGCTCTTAATATTCGATCGAGAAGGCACTCTGATTTTTCAAGAAGTCTTCAAAGTTGTTTAGCGAGTAAAGCCATGTTAAAAGCCTCTAGGTCGCGGAAACCCATTCCCCCAGACTGTTTACTTCGACATCAATCACTCGACTTTGCCCAGTGAATACCCTTTCCTTTGGAATCCTCCCACCAAAATCTCGCAATTAATCTTTCGATATCTCTTGTGAAGTAAATTGGCAGCTTAAAACATCCCATAGAATAGGATGAAATGGCTTGTTTCACCGCTATATTCAATCTTCTTACCCCGCTTTGACAACCATTTTTCTTTCCAACTTTTAAGACGTTGGAAGAATTTGTCCCGAATATGCGAGAAAGCTGTCCATTTCGATTAACAATAACTAAAGGAAGTCCCAAATATTTTTCATGTTTTTCCAGTATTTCCAGTGGAAGGATTCTTTTTATTTTATCAGTTGATTCAATCCTGGAGTTCTTACTAACACAATATTAGACTTCTGATAGTTAATCATTTGTCGAGATGCTTCCTAATAAGAGTTAAGAACTCCCGAATACTTTGAACAGAACGCTTGTTTGCATTACAAAATATAATAGTATCATCGGCAAATATGAGGTGGGAGATAGGTGGCGCCCCATTACACACTGATAATCCCAAAATATTCTTCATTGATTCTTCTCTTCGAAAAAATGCACTTAGTGCCTCCGTGAAAAAAAAAAAATACTGCGAAAGTGGATCACCTTACCAAATGCCTCTATCCGGAATTATGGACCCGAAAACGCCACCATTTAACATAAAAGAGTACGTTGCCGAGGAAACACATTTCATAATCAAATCAACCACTTGCATATGGAAACCAAGCCGAAGCATTACCAACCGTAAAAATATCCATTCAATTCGATAGTAGGCTTTGCTCATGTCCAATTTAACTAACATATGTTCCGCCGAGCTTTTCTAATATAATGATTCACTTCGAAAGTAATGAGAACATTGTCGGAAATTAATCCAGACGGAACGAAAGCAGATTGGGAATCCGATATTATAATATTCATTAAGGGCTTCAATCCGATACTGACATTATTTTCTTAAACCTTTCATCTTCTCAAATATAAACCTAGTGGTCTGTCCTCTGTATCATTATTTATTTCACAGTGGGTCCTCTTGTTTATTATAGTTGTCTGATCGAGTCCCTAGAATACTTTTGCGTCCCTTAGGTTATTGAAAATTGATTCATAGGAAATAAAGAAAATATATCATTGCTTTGGAAAGGGAGCTTGATCTCTGATCCCCTTATCAAGAAAATGAGTATAAATATTGTATCATTTAACTCCAACACTTGTAAATTAAAATCGGACAACCAACTGGAACACGGTTCGACCGGAGGCCAATCGGATTTTTATATTTTTATTTTATTTTATTTATTATTATTATATAGTTTTGAATATAATTATATTGTGAAATATCAATTAAAAATCAATTCCATTGAAAAAAAAAAAAAAAAAAATCTAAACATAAATATAATCTTAGATACAAAGCACCAAAATATCATATATACACAACCATATTTTAAAAAGTTACCAAAGTAATATGTATATTATTCTAATTTTACTTCTACTAAGAGCAACTTCAATGGGAGATATCAAAATGGAGCATTAAATATCCATTTGATACTTGATATAATACTTTGACACTTCTTGAAAAAAAAATTATTCCAACCACGAGTATCAAATAGATTATCTAATTTTAAATATATGAATAATTATTTTTTTTAAATGCCACGTGTCAAATTGTGATAGATTAATGGAGTGGTTATATTTTTGATACCTCATTTTCCAGGGAGTATTTTTGCACATCGGGGTAGTTGAGTATCAAAATAATTCTCCATTTAATGCCTCCATTGAAGAAGGATTTTTTAATTTTAGAGCATCAAAGTGGTAGTTTTTTAGTTTGATACCTCATTTAGTGCCTCCATTGGAGTTGCTCTAACTCAAGTATTTTACATGACACTTATAGATAACATGAAACTTTTTTATTAATAACAATTAAAAAACCTATATATATGAGTGCAAAATGCAATATAAACCTTAATAAATATATGTAGTTATTTAAGTATACAACGACTTTGATCTCCAATCTCCAATGCAAGAAGAAGAAACTAAGGTCACACTAACGGATCTTAACAAACGACGCCGCTTCCATCTTGCCGGAATCTATGGCTTCGGTGTTGTCGTCTCCTTCCCTGCAAGACCTTAAAGTTAGAGTCGAGGAACCAATAATCTTAGTTTCACCCAATGAGAAAACAGAGAGAAGATCCATTTTCTTGTCCAACATAGACCAAATGCATAATTACTACGTATGCACTGCGCATTTCTTCAACGGAAATGCAGATTTTCCTCCGGCGGTTGTGGCCGAGAGGCTCAAAATGGGTCTGGAAAAGGTTCTTGTGCCGTACGATTTTGCGGCCGGAAGATTGAAAACGAACGAGCTGGACTCCACGGACCGTCGTCTTGAAATAGACTGCACAGCAGCCGGAGTTGGTTTCGTGGTGGCTTCTTCGGAATATTCGCTTCATGATTTGGGGGACGATTTTGTCTTTTCCAACCTGGGATTCCACTACCTTGCACTGGATAATTTGTGGCCGGGTGATGACGAAGACCGTCCACTCTGCATTTTTCAGGTTACATGCTTGTGTACTTATTTGAAATTCCAAGTAAATTTTCATACATATATATAGAGAGAGAGAGAGATGATGTTTGCAAAAGCTTATTTAAAATTAGAAGTTATAGATTATGAGTTAAGTTGTGTTTTAAGTGCTTATTTCTAAAAGTTGAAGGTGTTTGTAAATATACTGAAAAATAAACTTAAATAGAAAAGTCAGGGTCGTGGGTGCTTAACATATTATAGTTTAAGCAAAAGCAAAAGTTCAGTTTGCAGACACTTAAAAATAGATAACGGGCTAAAAAAACTCAAAATCTATTTCAAAAAACTTTTGCAAAAACCATCATATAAACATATTTTAAGCTCATGAGTCATGACATAGTTCATAAATGACTAACAAGGGTTCTTTAGTTCTTGGGCCTCACATCACAATGGGTTGAAAAAATCCGATTAAGGGTTCGAGTCAACAACGAGTTGACATAATTAAATCATTACCACGTTGGTCGTGGATCATAATTTGGTCTAATAAATGGACGCGCATGATGATTAATGAATCCGTTGTTTTGTGAATTCAAAGGTAACATCCTTCAAGTGTGGTGGTTTCGCAATTGGCTTCGTATGGAATCATGTCTTGTTTGACGGCATGGGAGCCGGAAAGTTCATGGCCAATCTAGCAACCCAAGCATTTGTTGACGAAAAGCCCCCCGAAGCTATCCCATGCAACGACCGCCACCTCCTCGCCGCCAGATCTCCGCCGGTCGTGGCTTTCAAACACCCCGAGTTCAGCAAGAAGCCCGACAACTATGATGGCGACGGCGGCCTTGTCGGGGACTCGTTGGATTCCAAAATCTTCAAGCTAAATCCAAGTGCTGTCAATTATTTGAAGGACAAAGCGAATAATGGTACTAGGACGGAAGGAAAAATCACCACCTACAACGTAGTGGCGGCACTCATATGGCGGTGCAAAGCTTTGTCGTCCAACTGCATGGATAGAGAGAGAGTGTCCACTCTTCTCACTTCCATAGATATAAGGCAGAGGCTCAATCCGCCTCTGCCTGCATCGTACTGCGGAAATGCGGTGCTGTTTGCTCCCGCTTCTGCCGAATGCAAGCATCTCGAAAATTGGCCTTTTTTAGAGCTGGTGAAGGTGGTTTCGGATGGGATCAAGGGATTTAATGACGAGTACGCGAGATCTATGATAGACTTGTTGGGGATTAACAGAGGGAAGGTCCAGCCATATATAGAATACAACGTGAGTTCTTGGATGAAATTGGGGTTCGACGAGGTGGTTTATCCATGGGGGAAGCCAATATGCTTTGGCCCTTTACGCACTGTCACGGAAACTTGTTTTCTTTTTCCAGGTGTGGTTGATGGTGATGTTAATGCCTTGGTTTCTCTACCCACTGTAGAGATGGAGAGATTCCAGGCCTACTTCCTCGACTTCTTCCACCCGTGAATGCTGATTCATCGCGATTTCATTCATCTTCCTTAGAATCCTACTAATTTCGGATCCATACGCAGGGGAAAATAAATAAATCTCGTGTTTTCGAGAAAGTGAAAAGGACTTCTTACCTTATAATATACGCAATTTTCCGTTACAAAAATACAGTTACTGCAATGTTTTGCTTTGTATCTTTTTACTCTATTTTCCCCATTTTCTATATGATTCAAGATGTTCTATACATTAAGTTTTCTACTGGGTAGGGGAAAATCACATACACTGCACCCCACCGAAGGCCATTTCCGAATATTGGATAAAACTAATTAAGGAAAACAAATAAATTACGAAGGAAATAAGAGTTAAACACCTCCTCCTGTGTTATTAATATTCTGCAGGGAGACAACTGCACCAGATCGACTATCGTCCGAGACTGGAGAATGTGACGTTAGAATGTATAGCACCCATAGATGAAGGCACACCAGATAGACAATAGCCCAAATTCTAGCCGTTGAATTTCTTTTCAGAAACACAGCACCAGTACAGAAAAGGGAGTCCAATTGTCGAACCAGTGAGCCCAAATGTTGCTGCCCTGATTGCATTTTTCCTTTAAATAACGACCTGAAATTTGAATTAGAGATTTGCCATAAACCTGACGATTCCAGGTCATCCCTTGACGAGGTGCGGGAAAAATCAGCTGAATCAATCATCGACTTGTTCTCATCCAGTAATCTTGAAATAGCCTACGGTGGTTATTCGAAAAGTTTAGAGAAATCATCCAAGCTAATATTAGCCGAACGATTTTTCGAGATGAAGAATGAAAATTTACCTCCATCCTAAGAAGTAGCATTGCCTTCTCTGACGAGAGCGTCTCCACCTGATAGAGAAGTAAATTATATATTCAACCAAGGAATCCAATAACTAAAATCTAATGAAGTGAAATTTTATTTTTTATTCGTGCAAAGCACACATATGAAATCAATTTGGGCAGTCTGTTTATTGTTATGTTGCTTTGAATTAAATCAACCATATTTCAATTGACCAACTTGAGGGATGTACAGTTTGAAAAATGAACCTGTGCTTGCTTCTGAATGAGGTGGTCAGTCAACTGACCAAGCCTTCGTTTGAGCTCAATTTCTACTTCACTTGGATTTTCCATTTCACTTCGGGTTGTTTCAATGCTTGTTTCTAGAGTCTTGGCCTGCATTGCATAAGAAGATCGATCTATAGTTGCAGCATATCAAATAACTCGTTACCAACGAAAAGTATTCTCTATTAACAGCAAATCAAATAAATCCAGATGTCCATACTCCATTGAACGAAGTTTTTTCAGATAAGAGAAGTCACCTGATCTTGCATTCTTTCCAATTTATCAGTTGTGAAAGAATATTCTGCCTCAAGCATCTCCAGTTCAAATTCAACACCTTTTGAAGCTCGCAACTGCAATATCATTGATGCTGAACTACTTAAGACCACAAATTAATGTGCTATAATACACAAGTAGCACAATGGTTACTTACTTTGTCACCATTTTGGTGTGTACTGGAGATTTTTCTTCTCAATTCTACGAGGAGAAAACAAAAGGTCGTTCAGTAATTTGCCCGATATCATGAATGGCAAAACAAAATCAGCCTTCTTCTCTATAAGTTAAACAGGTATACGTTCTAAGAAGAGGAATTGTATACGCGTGATAGGTTTTAGGAGTACAGGCCATTCAGGAATAAGCGTAAATTCATACATGAAAAACCGACAATCATTAAACATGCTTCTCTGAGCCAGCTTAGGTTGAATAAACAAACCTTCATGAGCTGCTTCTTTCATACGAATTTGTTGCCGAAGTTCAGCTATGTGATCAACCTAATCGAGCAAATAAAGATAAGATAATGAACTCATACTTCATATTAGCAATTTAGCATGTAAAAAACTGCTTAAGCATGTAACATACATGAAACAAAAAGAAGCACAACATAAATTGAATGAAAATGAATAAAGTGGTGCAGGTTCTTTTCTAGTTTACTAAAATCCATTGGTCAACAACAGCAGTGGAAACGCTCGATAGGTGCAACATACATATTTTGATTCTCAAGATATTTACAGATTGTTTAGCAGTCAATTTTATGCAGAATAATGAACAAAACAAAGGAGAGGAAACTTAAAAACTATTGCAAGCTTGGAAGAAAATGAGGTTATTCTTGTGAACACAAAAACTAGACAGTAAAAAGGCGTCAATAAATACCTCAACATCAAGATTCTTCTGTACATTAGCAAGAGACCTAGTGAGATCAGCATTTTCCCTCTGCAAAATTAAAGCAAACAAATTTTAATAAACAAAATTTCCCAAGGTGTAAATGGGAGGAAATTGTATGACCCAGGAAAAGATTTTTCCTTCGTTTTTTTCTTATGGAAAAATTACATCAAGGTGGAATCATCCATGTTTTACTGAGGAACTTCACAAAGTAACTCTAGAAAATCCAACAAAAGAACCGAAAGAGGCTCAAATATAGATACGGATAGATTCTATTCTGTACATAACCACAAAAACAATTTGACTACCTCAACAAATCATTACTGTGCGCCCCCTCCTAAATCAAGTGAGAGATAAATCGACAAAATTCTACACTAATATGAATGTAATGTGATTTGCACAAGAAGTTGGTATTTTGAAACAAATAGAATATTACAGGATAGGAAGAGTAATACTATTTATTATGCCCACATTCATAAAGACAAAAGTTAAAGCAGATCTTAACACAACTTTTATTAATTATACTACCATAGAGGTACAATTAAGCATAGGTTTACAAAACTACAACACCTCAAGTTTCGATAAACGAGCAAGGGCTTCCATCCGAGTACTATTATGTTTCTGCTTCTCTAGTTCAACTGCTTCCATGGTCTCCATCATTGTTGTCTGTAATTCTGAAGCCTGGAATAATCAGCAAAACCAAATACTAAGTTGCATATCCTAAGAGTAGAAGAATCAACAAATGACAAATGTGAGACGAAAAGAGTTTACAATTATTTACCAAGAACATTGCTAACAGTTATCGGAGAATAAAATTAATATGAAGAATGTCGCATGTGATTACCGGCGAAAAGAATATTGAGAGAGCACATCATTATCCAAGAGAAAAGAAAAAAAAAAATATTAATAAAATTAGATAACTTTGTTTCCTTCATTTTTATGTGTTTAGCCAAAGGAAGGTTAGTAGAAGAACATAAATACATGGATCATGAGTTAATAACCTATCGAAGAGTGTTAAGTTTGACAATAAAATATTTATAAATTACCTCTTGTACTTGCTGTTTGGCTCGCTCGTCGAGTATTTTCTCCAAACTCTGTTTCTCCCCCTCCATTCTAGCAACCAAATTCTCGCGCTCTTTAATTGCCTCAATTGCCTTTGCAGCTGCTCTTTCTGCCAGAATCTGTTGCCTCCTCTTTATCCTTTCTTCCCTTTCTCTCTCCCTCTCCGAATCTGACGACGAACTTGTATCTGACTCAGAATTAGACTCTCCATCGTCGGGTAAAGAAGAAACCTTCTTCATAGAACTAGAACTCCTGGAACCCAGTGTTGATCTATCACCCCCACTGATTCCTCCCGTTTGCTTCTTACCATCACTCAATCCCACCTTATTATCCAACTCCCTTTCACGAGAAGTCGACCTCACCCGAGAAGAATTGTCTGAATCATCTATGATATCATCAATCGCAATTGTCGAATTACTGTCCCTTTGATCCAGTTCACCACCACTGCTTGGAGACTGTGCGCTTGAAGTTCTTGGTGTAGAATCCCCTACATTACTTCCCTTCTCATCGCTATCGGGACTGGTATTATTCTCCAACTCACCGTTTGATTTTCTTAAACTCTTCAAAACACCATTTTTCCGAACTTTTTCACTCCGATCAACCGTGGAAAGATTCAGCCGTGCACCAGAATTTCCCACTTTCTTTAAAGCTCGAATCCCTGAAACTCGATTGCTACTTCGGTTTATACCCCCTTCCCCAGATACTCCTTTTTTATCTGGCACACTCAGTAATTCTGTCCAATCACTATCCGTAAGCCCACTACTCAAATTTGTCTTTGATTTTGACAAATCGGACTTTGAGTTCAAGTTCAATGATCCCTCAGCTTCATCATCCCCATTAACATCACTACTATTTCTGCTCAGTACATTTATACTATGTTTATCACTCTGAGTAATACTTTGGTTAACCACATTCTCTGAAGCTTTCTTTTTCAGCTGGTCTTTCATCAACAGCTTAGTTTCAGGGGTTCTTGATGAATTTTCAGCACTTAATTGATCATCGGATAACGGCTTTTCATTCTTTCCTAGTGATTCTGCAGCTTGCTGATCAATCTGAACCGCCCAATCAAACGGGACATTAATTCAATAACAAATCACTCAAGTACAATCACACAGAATCACGAAATTGATGTTTCGGAGTCAAAATGAAAAGCGCTGCATTTACATTATAAAGCCTCTTTAATAGTTCACCATGTGCAATATATATTAAATATCCTATTTTTCAATGAACTACTTTGTCTCTGGTTTTAATAAAACGAACTTCATTCACATTGCTTCATACACCTATCACGCCGTTCTATAATTAAGCAAAGTAATCTTGGATTTTACAAATCAATTTCAATAACTCCTTTTCTGTATACAAAATTAACTTATTCATTAACTACATAAAATGATATTTTGTTTGTATATATATATAATGCAATTCTAACATAATCAACAAAACCTTCTTCTCAATGTCTAAAAATCAAAACTCACTCCACATTATTTCGCCTTGTCTTTTCGAATCAGTAGGTTATAGTTCTTCTTGTTACTTATATTCAAGTAGAATTTTTACAATTCTCGTAATTCAAATGTTCGACGTGAATTATATACTCATCTCTGCATTTACTTGATGGCTTTGTCAGATAGTTAATTGGGTTTTTTTTTTTTTATCAACTCTAACCCTCATTGTTAATTAAAAAAAAAAATCATCAACACTAATTTTCATTGTGAATGAATGTTTCATGACTCAATTCTAATTATCCGAACCACAAACAATAAATGTAGAATCAGTCATAATTAATCACGAGTCAATTGATCGTGATCCAAACACAAGGTCAAAACAATAAAAATAAAAAATAAAATCTTGATAAAATAGAAAAGTAAAAAAGGAATTAGACAAGGGGATTTTGTATACATACATGGTGGAGTAGGGTTTCGGCAGCTTTGAGCTTGGAGGAGATCCAGTGAGCCATTGAAAGCCGTTGATTTGTGAGAGCTTCTGTCGGTGTATCGAGATTTAGTTCTGTTCTGTCCGGCGCATTTTAGCGGGAGGCGAACTGAGTAAATCTCTCTCTCTCTCTCTCTCTCTCTCTCTCTCTCTCCTGTTTTGCAGCTGGTGACGGGTTTTTTGTTTTTCTTTTCTTCTTTTTTGGTGGAGTAAACGTGTCGGACAATGAGTGCGGCTGTGAGGCGCAAAATGTCACGAGCAAGGAAAATCAGGTAATATTAATTTCGATTTCGGATTTGAGGTAAATTACACCTAGAGGTTGGTAAAAACAAATATTGTTTAATAAGTTTTAATTTAAATTTTATTTATAAAATATTAGGGGAGTCATGTCAGCCCGCCGTAACTCTATGTTGTCTACTAATAGTCCGTTTGAACTCTATCGGAATAACGTATCTAATATATTATTCTGTTAGAGTTTCTAACAATGTTTTAGGGGTGATTGTAATTATCGATACCACAGAGACCTTAAAGTTATTTTAGTATACCTCAGAGGTGTAAGTGTAATTTATCCTTAATTTTTAGTTCAAATTATATTTTAATAAATTAAAGCGCAAAATGCATACAGGCTCATCACAATGGACTTATATACACATAGATTCAGATAAAAAACAGTTTTGCAAATAAACTCAGTCCCATGTCTTTTATCTAAAATACCTCTCATAATATTTTTTTTTAATCAATTTCATCCATCTAACTTCATCAGTATTGCCCAGTGCCCCGGATTTAAACAAATATATCACATTAACACCCATTTTCACAAATTTTTGAGGAATTATTTTATTTTTCTAAAAGTTTTTTCCGGCGTTGATTTTTTTTTCCCGGCCAGACAGTCGGCGTTGACATTTTTTTTAACTTTTTTTTTGTAATTTTTTTTTCTATCTAAATTATTGTTTGGGACAGTAATATTACTGTCGAAGACAGCAATATTGATGGACAAGACGATAAAATATTATTAAAATAGTATAAGGATCACTATAGACTAGGGAGGAGCAGATTTGGGTCAATCTCCCCATATTGAGCTTATTAAAATAGTATAAGGATAAAATGTATGGGCCGAACAATATTTATTGGGTCTACCGACCCAATACACATCAAAGACAAGGTCTATTTAGAAACTCACGGTTAACGAACTCGCCAACCCATCCGAACATGCCAGAGACAAATCAACGGGGTAGGTGGCGAGCTCAACAAGAGCCATTAGAAGCAGAAGACTCGGATATATTTTTTTCTAAATAGATAAGGAAAGTATGTAAATTAGTATTAGTAATGGAGCAATCAATGTAAATCTCGACATAATTAAAGCGAGTTAAACTATGAAGCAATTAGAGAGATCTTCATATATAAAGTCTTGTAATAAGTCCGATTAAGGACACGATTCAACATCAATAAGAATACTTTTATACTCTCGTCTAGATTCTCTCTCATATTTATTAAATTTCGTTCGTCATCTCACCACCGTCGGTCCAAGATCCAACGTCCGATGCACTTTCCGGTGTTCTAAAATAAGTAGGATTTGGAGTGAGCTCTTGAGGGTGTGGATTCTACGCCATCAAATTTCAATATTTGACATTCCAATATTTCATGCCCAAAATCAAGTTTCAACAATATCTCCTATTACAACTTAAATTCCATAAACAATGCAAAATACTAAAACGAATCACTTTGAGCCACTTTGAGAGAGAGAGAGAGAGAGACGGTGTGGCTAGGATTAAATAATGTGGGTATTAGTTTGATTAAGGGTATAATTGTATTATAAATTTTAATATAAAATTTGAAAATGTCATATTGTTGTTAATACTCTAATATTACTACCTTGACCTGCAATATTACTGTATATATTAACACAGTAATAGACAGTAATATTGTTGTTAATACAGTAATATTACTTTGTATAATATCTGGACCTACAATATTACTGTCTCATAAAATAATATTACTATTAGCACATTGGCTGTTTAAAAAAATACTTGAAAAAAATATACTTAATATTACTGTGAGCACATTAATATTACTGTGTAATACTGTGAGATTATTGTACTGTGTTCACAATAATCTTATTGCTTTGACCGGTCAATGGCGTAAAATAAATAATTCAAAAAAATATTAGACAAAAGAAGAAGTCAAATCCAAATAATTCAAAAAAAATCAACACTGGTTAGTGTCCTAAAAAAAGTTTAGAGAAAAATTTGAGAATGGGGTCAATGTATGATTGATTTCGTTTGGATAAGAGTGCAAATAAATCACTCACCCTATGGAAATCGCCCATAATATTGAAAGTTCATTGTTCATAAAAACATGTAAAACGAAAAAAGCTAATAGTATTTTATTCAAAATTTGTAATACTAGATGGAGAATAGATCAAGTCGGAGAGAGATTGAGAATGCCATTGGGCGTTTGAGTTGGGAGAGGGAGTGAGACTTCATCAAATAAGTTAGACGGATTTATCATTTATCTAGTCAAAAGTTGAAT